GGTCTAAGCCACGTAGAAAGGTGTAGACTTCCAGGCTGGGGTCCTCGGGACGGTAAAAATCTATGGTTGGAAACAATTGGTGACATGGCTCAAAATCGTTCTCAGTGGCGCAGATGCATCCACTCCCTGTGACTTATGATCTTCAATGAAACTGTTTTGTATTTCTTTATTACTCCTTTGTCTCACACCTCTGCTCACTGTTTCTATTATGCTTTTCTTGTACTTTCTTCTCTTGCTTCGCGTGCTACACGGAATGTGGCGACTTGAACTTCCGCACATTTGTGCAAAGTTCTATGTCGAAAACAGACAGACAGACCTGTCCGACTACTGACATTCATTCAGCATGACTGTTAACACAAGTCTGAAGCCTGTTGGAAAAACTTTCCGTGATGCATCAAGTCTCTGAGCCATATATAAGCCCTGTCTTGACATTTTTTATTCTTCTACGTACCCCCCAGTGGAACATAGGGGACTTCGAGTTAGAGCTTTGAAGTTTCGGTAGGAGAAGGGTTACTAGCCTCATGCCCAACGTTCCCTACTTACCAGTCTTGTTACTCGCTTAGTAAGGTAAAGGAGTGCATCGGCCGAAGATCGAACCCCGGACCACATGAGGCATGGTTGTCGAAACATTCTACCGCTGTGCCACAGACGCGTCTGTCTTCATACTAGTGTTGCAAAACTCGAATGTTGTTCTCTATGCTTAGCACAGTAGATTTCCATACCGACGTCAGATGAATGAAAGTGCATTTTGCTTCAACAATCCTGCTTTTGACATCCTCATTGTTGTTCTTCGTCAGGAATATCTGGTGAATAATGAAAATTTATAACTTGGTGGAATTATATCATACGAAACATTGGACAATGGATTTTCAAGTATGCAAGTAACCTAATTGTGGTGGACTGGATTATGCGTCAGACAGTGGGAAACGAGAAGACAGGGATTTCGGATTTTCAATACAAACGTCAAGTCAGTCACTTCTTCTATACGAATCAGAAACTTGGCGGGCGGGTCACAAAGAATATTTCCAACCAACAGCCTGTTGCAGACGTTACCTTTATCAACAACTGTCTTCGCTGGCTCTATACTGAAGATCAGATGGCCGGGCCGGAAAAAATCACCAACAAGAAACTATGGCTGGAACAAACAAACAAACAAGACAAGACCCAATCGCCAACCAACAAATACGCAGTTGGAGAAAGTGGAGATGGATTGGACACTCACTCACTGAGGAGGCCGCCACTGGATGACATCGCGCGCGCGTCAGGCCATTGCTCGAGTAGAACCAGGCCGAAAGGGAAGTACGCGGCGAGTGGGACGTCAGTGCAAGGGTGATATGGAGGAGATCGTGTGAAGAAGAGTTGAATCAGTATGGACTAAAATGGATACAGGTGAAAAGTACAGCAGAAGGAAGACAGAAGTGGCAAGTGGAGACGTGAAGCTGAAGCCCTATGTTCCACTAGGAACCCAAGGGAACAATAATAATAATATAATAAGTAACTATCATCTATGAAAAGCAACCTGAAGTTTCAATGTATTCGTATAATGATGGTGTTCTTCGATAAAGTAGGCGGATTTACTCATGGAGTTTGACATTAGCGTCTCAAGAATTCTACACCTAGGTAATCTACACTTCGCTACTTGGCCTAATTCAATAATCAAAAACTTTATGGAATGGCACCAGGTCCAGATTTGATCATCCCTAATTCATTACCAAACTAATCCTGTCAGCTAACATAGTTCAATGAAGAAGGTGATAGTTTGACACCTAAGTGAAAGGTGTCCTAATCATAACAATTGGTACCTCATCGATTGACTTCCCCTCTCCATTTAACATTGTACGCCTAACCTCAAATATTGTTCACGATAAAACCAGAAAACCTGTCTTCAAAGACAGTTAATCTCTTCGGGTTTCCCAATACTTTCAAATATTATTCAATTATTAGTTTTGTAGGGATTTTGTTTGATTGCATGGAGGATTTCATCATGAGCTGACATCAGTTAGAGAACCATTGAAAAGCCAACTGGGAGTACTGGACAGCTGTTTCGTCCTAGTACGCACCCCGGTGGGTGCACACCGATGAAGAGTTCCAAACTAGAACGAAACAGCTGTCCAGTAATCCCAGTGGTTCTCTAGCTGATGTCAGCTCATGGTGAAATCCTCCATGAAATATTATTCAATTTAATAAGACAGAAAGCACGACGAGTATAACTCACCACTTCCAATTTAACAACGTTATATTAAACTCTGACATGTTTTTCCTTTCTACACATGAATCAGATATTGAAGCACTGAATCGCGGTGATTTATATATGTTAAAATACTCGGGGAGGTGACATACGCACATTATGAATCATTCTTTCTTCACGTGATTGGTAAACCAGACAGCCAACCTAAACACTGATTGACTGATTGATTCAAGGCCTAGTTAAAGGAACCTTACAGAATATAGACCAGTCAACTGAACAACAAAAAAACTATGTTTTTTGCACTGTAAACTAGTCATTTATTCTCGTTATTTTGAAATAACTGCACATCTGTAATTTCTAGTTATATAGCCTTTTGCGTAGGACAACTACACACCTTTCCCATCCTATCGCCAGCCTTTCGTGTCTTCCCGGTGGGGGAACAGGAGCCGACCTATCCTCGCTATAGTATGGTTGTGTTGAGATGGCAGTTATAAAGAAACCACAAATTGTAGTCCAATCATCACTGTTTTGCAACAGTATCCGCTTAGAAACCTAATCAAGCCAAACCGTCCACCCCACAGGAAAGGCAAAGAATTAATATTCATTATAAATTAACTCAATGGACCCACACAAAAACTTAGAGGATCTGGACTTCGCCGGTGATATATGTCTAATTTCGCACAAACTGGAAGATATGCAAATGAAAAGCAGAAGAAGCCTCCAGAGAAGATTGGATTTCCTTCAGGTGAACATAGATAAAACAGAGGTGATGAAGATTCCTGGCCAACACCACCAACAACAATCGGCCAGCGTAAATGGAAAGAACCTGAGAGAAACAACCTCTTTACCTACCCACCTGGGAAGCATCGTTTCAACTACAGGCGGAACTGACGAGGATATCAAAGCCAAAATCGGAAAAGCAAGGCAGGCTTTCATTACTCTTATGTCTGTGTGGAAGTCAACAGCACTCAACATCAAAAATAAGATCCGGATTTTCAACTCCAATGTGAAGTCAGTGCCACCTACTACACGGATCAGAGACTTGACGTGTCATAAAGAGAATCTCAAACAAACTACACACCCTCATCAACAGTTGTCTTCGCTCAATACTCAAGATCAGATGGCCGGCCAGAAAAGATCAGCAACAGGGATCTCTGACAATAAACGAACCAACCCAGCAGGAACCGATTGTGAAACAAATAAGCAGGAAGAAATGGAGGTGTACTGATTTGCCATACTCTGAGGAAACCATCAAGTGACATCACTAGACAAGTCATTGCTCGAGTGGAACCCGATTGAAAGGGAAGCGGCGACTTGGTCGTCCAAGGGTGACTTGGAAGAGATGATGTGAAGAGGGGATGAAAGCATGTGGGCAGACTTGGAGCAGGTTGAAAACGTTGGCAGAGAACCGGACGCAATGGAGACGCGCGGCTGAAGCCCTATGTTCCTCTAGGAATTAAAGGAAATAGTAAAAAAAAATAACTCACTTATCTTGCAGTCAGCTGGTTGATGGTGATTAGCAGTGTAATCCAGGATGCGCATTCATTTCGAATTGGGACTCATCTCAGCTGGATGTACCTACATCCCCCGAACCCAGTATCCATAGTCTCAAACGCTATATCGTCAACCACCCCTCTTGTGCAACGGATCCTACTAATTATTTGATTCAATTGTAGCTTTTCCTGTCGATTGATTGGACTGAAGTGCTCGGTCTCAGGATAACATGTCGTTTGAAACTATGGGCACTAGGTTCGAGCCTCGGAGGGGAGGGGGGGGGTTAACATCATCACACACTGACTCGGGAATGCAGGTACACCCAGAAGCTGGCAGACAAGTCCCGAAATTAGGACGTAATGCGTATTCTGGTGGATTCCATTGCTAGTCATCATGACTAGACATCGTTGAAGCATCTGCACAAGGAGACGACATTCAGTCGTATAAGTCAGCATAGTGAGCCAGAATGTTAAAGATATACATACACATATATATATGTGCACAAAAGGTGTACACGCATACTTTTATACATAAAAAAGAAAGAAACAACAGAGGGCTAATTCATCCAAGGAGAAAAAACAACCAAATGTGTACATATATATGTGGAAGAGGGCGGGGGGCAAGAGGGCATACATGAATACTGGGGGTTTCGTAGTAAGAACAATATTGCTTAATATTGATGAACATATGGTTAATTAAAATCGTGTATGCAACTAAAGTTATGCATATATATACGTATTTGCGTTGTTCTATGAATAAACAAAATCGATAGAAGTGAAAAGGTATCTAGTAGGAGTAGCAGGAGGAGGGGTACAGATATGAAACATAAAAATTTGACCAATCAACTAACTACATTGTATTGTTGTAGATGTACGACACAAGAAAGAAAACGGTCTGTGTATAAAGTTGACAGTGTATTGGATGAAAGATGAGCGCACACACAAGCCCTCTAATGATGAGAAGACACCACCATCCCCCCGAACAACAACAACAACAACAACACTAAAATCAAATTTCTGTGAAATATTATCAAAACTTAGATTTATTTAAATAAAATAAAATAAAACAAATGAATAATCAGTTCATAAAGGAGGAAATTTTGTGATCAGGTTCAAATGAAAATGATCGTTAAGATGATGATGATCAAATTGTATAATAGGGGTTATACAATGCGGGGAATTACATAACCGGTATTCATATTCAGGAGGGCAGGCGGGGGCGCGCACACACTCACATACACAAACCAATACATACGGAGGTTGGTGATAAGAAAAGAAAATCGGAAAACAAACACGTGTGAGAAATCATAAACAACCCACTAGAAAATCACTTCAATTGTATCTAAGAATCCACAGGAAGATTTTGTTGGATTATAACCACCGAATATTAAATTGCATCTTTGATCTGATGTCAGTGTGGCACCACAACTCGAACGAGCAAAGAGTAGATTTGGCCCAGAACGCCATTTCCATGCAGCTGAATCGAATATCCATGTTGCATCCAAAGTTTCATTACCGTTATAACCACCGACTAACAATAAATTATCTAATGAAATAAGGGGGAAACATTTTTTCTGGTTAGAAAACGCGAGAATCGACATTTCTATAGAGAATAAAGGGAATCTGACCACATTTGTTAAAATGACAATAATCACGTAGTACAGTTTGGTGAGTTGATGATCCAGGGGTAGAACGTCTGATAAGCGCAGTTCTAAACCTCTCCTTGCCGAACTCGTTAGTTCACACGATGCTTTTACCTTAGAGTGCACTGATATAGATATTAGAATCCAGGTAACACTGGACAGCTATTTCGCCCTAGCCTGGAACTCTTCAGTAGCACGTACCCCCACTTGGGTTCAAACCCAGGACTTTCCGGGCTCGTAGATCATCTAACCATTGGGGCCGAACTTCCATCCATTAGCTATATATAAAGCGCAACTGCCAATCGGTATATCATCGGAGAGTAACCGTTCTCTCATTCTCATTAGAACTCAAAATAACTTGAGGTGTAGAATCAGTCGAGTATTGGTTTATCGGGATTTGGTTGGTTACAGGTTCGATCACGAGCTGATGTCAGGGTGTACTGCTGGAAAGTCCAAGACCAGGTTGTAGAAAACAGCAACTGTCCAGTACTCCCAACAGTTCTACAAACTGATGTCAGACGGCGACTAAACCTGTGAAAAGTTTTTATCATGAAATATTCCCCAGTTATACAGGAGTTGTGTGTTGAACAGCTAGTTCTGTGAATCAACACCAAACGTATGAAATTGCATTTCTCTTTTTCCATAATAACAGAAGAAGAAACTGTAGTGTAGTGTGTTTGTTCACTTTTATCGCTTACCTTTTATATTTGGACAATATGTAAGACTGGCGCTACGCAACTGTCCAATTGAATTGGCTAATGGATTAGGAATATAGAACCAAGCAGCACAACGTGGATCTAATGCTTCCACTGTAATATTTGCACTACTTCTATATGCACTGTTTGTATTTATTACACCACCGATGACAACGATTAAATTTCGTGTAGTTAAAACACTGGCACATGCTTCACGTCGACCTACACAATAAGGTTAATCAAGAGAGTAGAGATGATATAAGCATAACTAGTATGTGTTGTTAATTCGACAATGTTACAAATTATTAAAACTACAGTGATTGGTGAAAAGAAAGATATATATGCTCTAATTATACCTGACTGACTGGTTTCAGCGTAGAACTTTGCACAGATGTGCAGCAGTTCAAATTGTTGCTCTTCATGTGACGGATGAGATTTCCAACCGTATAGTGAAAGCTAGGGTGGCATACATCAACTTCAGCCACCTCTGGCGCCGTCGCGACGTTAGCCTAGCTGTCAAAGGTCGGGTATACAATGCTTCGGTGAGAGCTGTCTTGCTCTACGCCTGTGAAACCTGGCCTCTCCGAGTAGGCTGAGGATGTGCGGCGACTCTGTGTGTTCGATCATCGCTGTCTCCGCAGGACTGCTTGCCCGCGTTCGATGGCATCATTGTGTGAGTAATTCTGAGCTTGGTGTCTTTGGACACAGTGGAGATCACCATTTATTGAGTGTCGTCATCTGGAAACACCAGCTCCGGTGGCTTGGACATGTGCTGCGAATGTCATCCCAGAGGGGGCTTCCGTACAGGTCTCTGTTCGCTAGCCAGCACTGGGACGGGATGGAAAAGGCGGAGAGGTGGTCAGTCCATGACGTAGCGTCGTGGGATGAAGGACTTTTGTGCTAGATTAGCATCGGTTGGTGCGTCACGAATCCCTGGTTAGGGTCCGCGAGATAGCTCGAATCGATGGCTCGAAACGGTATCGGATATGGCCAAGAATTGCAGTGATCAATGGCGAACGTATTGCAACTTCCTTCTTTCTTCCCTTCCAGAAGATAGCTGACGAATACTGTGTGAACTTGTTAAGCATTACTGTTTTCCTTCCAGATGAAGTTCTTTATCCGTTCTCTACTTATATTTTTTTTAACTTTTGGTCTATGTTGTTTTATTATTATTGTGTGGCGCATCTTTCTTGGTGTCATATTGTACCAAGTTTTTTCTGCGTTTAAATAAAAATACATAAATAAATACACAAAGCCGCCATCATGCCATCAAATTCACGTCGGAATCAGAGATTAACTCGGAATTCCACTTTTTGGATGTTTTTCTAAAGAGGAGATCTGATGGCTCTCTTCAAAGATCGATCTACAGGAAACCAACATGGAATGGTCAGTACACAAATTTCCATAGCTGGGTCCCTTTAAGAAGAAAGAGAAATTTGATCCATTCCTTATCCTCAAGAATAAGGAGGATATGTTCAAGTGATACAATCGATGGGGAATTGGAGCGACTCAGACAAGTTCTCTTAGAGAATGGATATCCTCCAAGATTCATCGAGAAAAACATGAAGTTAAGAGAAAAGCCTGAAAGAATTCAGACTGTGCCGAAGGAACTGCTCTTTATGAGTGTTGAATTTAAAGGTGATACTGCAGCTGAGATCTTGAAGAATCGCTTACGCAGATCACTGAGGAAAGCCTTCTTTATGGCCGAGCTACGTATCAATTTCTACAGTCAACGAATGATCAACGGATGTGTGAAGGATAAGCTGCCGCTTTGGGCCACCTCAATATGTGTTTATAAATTCACATGCTCGTGTGGGGTAAGTTATATTGGCCGCACAAAGCGCACGCTTTCCAAGCGCATCTCTGAACATTATCCGGCATGGTTAGCAAAGGGACAATACAAGACAATTACTAGCTCAATTCTCGAGCATTTGGTGAACTCAGGCCACGTAGCTCCACCAGAGTCGTCTTTCAACATCATCTACAAAGTGAAGCCAAATTGTACAAAGGGCGTCAGGTTCCGGCTTTTGTGTATGGCGGAGGCGCTGGCAATACATCAATACAACCCTGATCTCTGTATACAGAGAAAGTGTGTCCAGTCTCTTATTCTACCTTGGTCTTAACCTCTTCACTTATCATTCCCTGTAAAATATATTTTTGATTTTGTTCTTAATCTTTAATTTTACTCTTAGTTTGCTTTTGCTTTAATAATTAATTCACTATTATCAGTTTCATATGCTCTTTGTCTATTTTCACACCTTCTTCACACTTGTTAAATTGACACTAATAATTTTATTCTCACTCAAGAGCAATTTTAACCTTTTCTAACTTCTATCTTTGTTCCGTCGAGTACCATGTAATTTACAACTTTTAATTTTACCTCTAAAGCCACTTATGATTAATTACAGCAATTATGTCACCCCCTATTACTCAATAATAGACCACTATACATTTTTCTAAGTATAAATACGACTGTACAGCCTCTGAAGATGATTTCGTCGATAAAGAAAATTTTCTTCGCTGAATCTGTCTTTTATTCTCTACAAAATGAATGATTTGTATAAAAGTAAAGGATAAGCTACCAGTGCTAGCCGCATCAATGTGTATTACTTACTATTCAAGTATTGGTTTTGTAGGGATTTTTTTTATTCGATGGAGGATTTCATCATGACCTGCTGACATAAGTTAGAGAACCACTGGAAAACCTGAGAGTACTGGATAGCTGTATCGCCATAGTTTGGGACTCTTCATCAGTACGCATCCAACGGGGTTCGAACCCAGGGCTTATTTATTTATTTACTCCTGTGAAGCTAGATATGTCAGCATTATTCAGTGTCTGCTATCCAAAAGTATCAAACTAACATTTACCCTCATGATTTTACAGTAGAAAAACAAATTCCCTGTGTAGCTCTACTCTGGAATACTTAATCGATTATGGACACCAAGCGAAATCAGAAAATCAACTTCAGAAGCATCTATAGAACATGTAGAAATCTTTTCAAACATCCAAAACTGACAGAAGCCTTAGGTAATCTATACGTCAAATCCTGAACTCAATCAGTCATTTAACTTAAAATGGACCTAATTTATTTAAATATTTGACGCGTAACTTTCATGTATATATTTTGTTTTCTCTTTACCTCTACTCCTTTAACATTGATCTTCTTTCAGTTTTCATTGAAATGTACTCACTCATGTCACTTATTTTTATGTCACTCAATTTAATTGTTGAACTTTGCTTTAGTCTTCTCACCTGATGATTAATCACAGGATCTCCTCCTCATTATTATCCAAAACTCAAAATCCCAAAATTATGGCCACCAAGATTTCATATTTTGTACAAGGGTTGGGATACCGCCTGGATGTCTAGACCGAAGTAGGTGGTTGTCTTAATGGACTAAACACCGAGCCTTTAGCTTGATATGTGATTCACAAGGCGGCGGAACAGTGTCAGGGGCTGCTTTCCAACGGATGACAGTGATCTAAACAGGTTCATATATACCATTCAATAATTTCGGATTCTGAAGCCCATGTACACACCATAAACTATTTTTTTTTTAATTCTTTAACGTTCCCAGTGGAACATAGGGCTTCAAGCTAGTGGCTTGAAGTTTCTGTTGTAGTGTTTATTTTTACAGGATGAGGTTGCTAGCTTCATGCCCAACCTTTCCTCATTACCAGCTCTTATTAGCTTAGCGAGGTAAGAGAGTGAGTCGACCGGGGATCGAACCCCGGACCACATGTTCATGGTCGGCGAGCGTCCTAACCGCTATGCCACCGACGAATAACTATAAGCTTGGAATCAGGATTCTTCAACTCTCCAAAGTAGACTAGCATATCTCTCTATCAGTCCAGTTATACACACTAGACATTCGCACTGTCCATTTCAATTTTGTGAGGAACATCCCCTGGTAGGATCCAGCATAAAACAGTATATCATCCCTTCTCACGAATCATCTTGTGATTTATCATGTGATGGAGTTACTCTATGTGAATGTATCATTTCTCACGCGTACATTGATTTAGTGTGTATCCAACTCATCTTCTGCCTCACCTTGATCTTTGTCTGATTACCACAACCAATCAGAACAGACACCTCCTCCAGCCAATAAGAACAATATATTCTCCACGGTTATGAGCCGACTTTATTATGGTAAAGAAAATGTACAAATATGTGTTGTTTCTTAAACTTTGTAGTGTAGTACAGCATAATGCAGTATCTTACAGTCATAGATCAGTCTTCGTGTTTTTTTTATATTTACGTGGCTCAGTGAATCGGAAGGTATAACAGACAAATAAGACGTATTAGCGCACCAGTCGAGTTCATTACCATTATATAGTAGTTAACAGGCGCAGGTATAACAAAGTGGCAACAGAATTATTCAGTTCCGTTCAGTTATAACAAATTGGCAACAGAGTTATAAATATCCCCACCGAGTGAAGGTAGTGAATGATAGATATTATGAAGGCGAAGCCAACATGAGAAAATGTGTAGAAGAAGACCGAAGCCTAACACCAACCTCGGCTATATACCAGGTTGTTTGTTGGACACTTCTTCCTTTTATGACTTCTCATATAAATATTATTATTCACAGCTCTACATTAGATGAAAAATCTTACAATTTACGGCTTTTTCTTTTTGTCTCCCTGTCTGTTTTCGATATAGAACTATGCACAAATGTGCAGCAGTTCAGGTCGCCACACTTCCTCGATGTAGCACACAAAGCAAGAGAAGAAAGTACACGAAAAGCATAACAGAGACAGTGAGCAGAGGTGTGAGACAAAGGAGGAGTAATAACGAAGAACAAGACAGTTTCATTGGAAATCATAAGTCACAAGGAGTGGATGGATCTGCACCCGCCACTGAGAACGATTTTGAGCTATGTCACCAATTGTTTCCAACCATTGGATTTTACCGTCCCGATGACCCCAACCAGTCAGGAAGTCTACACCTTCCTACTTGACTGGCTGGCTTAAACTAACTGTTGTGGATTTCATTGGCTGATGGAGCCATGTTTTGGTTTGACCGCCGCTAGCTCTTTTCCAGCCTGACCCTATGTCAGCCATCTAACATTGCCCAATCTCGATGAAGGCGATGACTAGGCATAGGTAACACATGTCCTAACCATCTCACCCAATCGAAGTAATTTCACAGCCTCGTCGATTGATTTCCCCTCCTTACCTAGCACTTGACCCTAGTGAGAAGTTAAGTACTGACGTGACTAAAACTACTCAATGTGTTTACAGACATATAGTTTATTGATCTATTATTCACAGTTAGCTGCTAACCAATAGATAGTAAATTCAAACTCAGCAACCAACTAACACACACAAACACACATATGTGCAAGGTTCTATAAGCTGAACACGGTAGAATCACAAAAACATATATAGCAACACTGATGTTCTGAATATCCGAGACTCATAACACTCTCAAAAACTTTAATCAGAGAAAAATGTATAAAAAGAACCACTGAGAAACCTGGAAGTACTGGATAGCTGTTTCGTCCTAGCTTGGGACTTTTCAGTGGTACGTCCCAAACTAGGACGAAACAGCTGTCCAGTACTCCCTGCAGGTTTTCCAGTGATTCTCTGTAACTGATGTCAGTCAGCTCAAGATGAAATCCTCCATGCAATCAAACAAAATCTCTACTAGACCAATACTTGACATATATAAAAAGCCGATGAACAAATGTGAATAATCAATCAACACAGAAAGAAGAATTGAATACAAGCAATTATTCAAGCTGAATGGTGAGTATAACTAACCCAATTTATATATATATATATATATGATAGGCCACAGACTACTCACCTTGTAACATAGACGGCATATAAACCCATTCATCTTTATCTGGAATATACGCTTCAACTGAAGATAGATATTGGGCACCGCATACACCACCAGCAACAAGAATAGATCCTTTTGCATTCGATATAAGTGGACCTTGATGAAGACCACTTAAATCGACAGCGACTGGATTAGTTCGAGCCTCGTGTAAACTTTTTATAGGTTGCCAAAATGAAATATTTGCTGGAGCGGATCCATTTGTTGTTGATGTACCGTTGTTGGTATGCACTAGTGAATCAGTTCGTAAACGAGTCTCTGTACTTCTGTGGGAGCCGTTTGTGTATTCAACAGTGTTAATATTATCAGTATGACCATTTTTGGTTGCTTCGTGATTGGCAAACCATGATTTCAGAGATTCAGAAGTTAGTCTACAAATTAAAAAGCGGAGACAGGGGGTGATGAGGGAGAATGAAATGCACAGTGTAAGAAAATTTCTTTATCATTTTCAAAAAATTGATTGCGAAAATCATATTTTATCGATTTCCTTATATTCACTTCCGGTTAACTCCAGTATCTAGTAAATAAGTGAACCTTTCAGTTCTGAAGTTACCACTTGGGTTATGGACAACCAAATCACGTTTAAACCAATTGACTGTTTCTAAAATGTGTCCGATCAAGATTTATCTATGTGATTTTGAAAAATTGATCAAATGCTTATATCAAAGATTCCAAAGGAGAATCACCTTCTTAGACATCTTGCTCTTAAGGAGAACAAATGGTACTATAAACAGGAATTTGTATCAGAAAAGTATTTGGGCAGGTCAATATACACATTTTCACAGCTTTGTTCCTCTCCGGGGTAAAAGAAATTTGTGGAGTCATCAAAAATAAACTTATCCAACTTTTACTAACGTTGCGAGAGCTGGCTGATAGCCAAATCAGTAGACAGTAATTTACGCCAGTGTTTACGTCTCCAATATTAGTCGTGAGAAAAATATGAACAAAGACTGATTCAACAACCAATCACAGCAAACTTTGTTTGCGTAGGCGGATACAATTTGCAGATACCTAATCCGAACTTCAATAAACGACCACAAAGAGATGAAGGACTAACTTTCAGTGAGAAACAGCCAATCAGAAGACTGTGTTTTTGTGCTAACAATAATCTATAATAATAATGTACATGAAAATCTATAATTATGTGTTGATTTCCTTAATAAATGATCTGTTTCATGACCCTTGTCTTCTATTGTTACAAAAGTAACAATGCAAGTCACTAAACCAAAGAAAGGAGGTGCATCTGTGCATCTATCCAGGTATCAAAATACAGTCCTATCAAGGAAGGTTTAGTGTGATGATGAATTGTTGCTTTGATTGCAAAAGAGTTGGTTTAAACTCCCTAATTACTAGGGTAACTGGCAAGACAGCGTTTTTTTTTTGGTGTATGCACAGAAATCTTTTTCTCCAATTAGACGAGAAACATACAATAGGGAAAAATATTCATTCTCTTATTGGATTAATAACCTTATAATTAATTTCTCTTCAGTGAATATATATGGCTTCTATGCCAGGAAGTCTACACCTTCCTATGTGGCTTAGACTAACTAGTTCACCGTGGATTTCATTGACTGATGAGAAAGAACTAACATTTGGCTAACACCTTCAATGAAATCCCTGCAAACCAACACTTTTAGTTTAATCTAATGCTCACTAGCAATGACTTTATGCAAGAAGTTATGTGGATTTCTTTTGGGATCCCCCAAGCCGGGTAAGAGATTAGTTACACGCTACTGACATTGGCTAGGAGTTACACTCTACGCCACAAATCGGTAGAAGCTGGAATTCATGAGCCGTTTGACCGGGTCCCAGTGGCTAAATGGTTGACAAGCTCGCCCTGTAACCGGAAGGTTCTGGGTCCGATCCCCGACGGGTGCAAACTGTTGAAGAGTCACAGAAGAAGATGGAACACCATTCCAGTGCCTCCAGGTTTTCCAAGGGCTCTTCAACTCATGTTAGCTTGTGGCCGATCAGATTTCTGCAAAGCACCACTTGGTGATATACTACAATACTTGCAGATGTCAACTAAATTTCACGCCAAATATAAGGGGGGGGGATGGGGGTAAAAATCGAAATGAAGTAACTTACCGATCTACAGAAGCTAAATCCTTAGAACCAGTAGAACCACCACAGGCATATATTACATCAGGAGAGTTGGAATGCGATTGTAAATAACTAGAGACAACAGCCAGACGTCCTCTTTGTTTTGTCAATCGTGGACCAGCAACAGGTGGGTGTACAGGACAATCTTCATCACTGCATAATTCACTCGAATTATTATTGTTGTTTTCAGTAAAAATCTCCACGCTGTCTAAACAGCCTTTACGTGTATAACCACCAACAATGACAATATGACGCTTAGAATCATCATCACAAGTCAAGTGTCCAACACCAAAACCAGATCGAGCTTCTAACATACGCATAGGTGTATCCATAGCTGCGCCGTCAGTGCTGGTGCTGCTACTGCCACCGACACCGACGCCACCACAGCACAACAACTCACTTTGGTAAATCTGTCCACTGAATGATTCATGTACAGAAGCTACAGCGGCGGCACGTGCCAAGTGTAAAGCAGAATTGGCAGTCATTGTTCGACAGACTTCATCTGATTCAAAGAGAGCATATATACATGGAGAGAGAGAGAGAGAGGGAGGGAGAAAAGACGATAAATTAAATTATAATACACAATTAACTTGGAGTGTAACAATCATACATAAGCAATAAAGTGAGTATTGGTGGATAGACTACATGAAGTACAATTTGGATAGTGGTTACTTGCCGTACACACTGAGTTTCGACATAGAAATTTACACAGGAGTATAGCTGTTCAATTCCATACTAGATGAGTTTGTTTCAAATATATACCACAGTGATGCAGTTATAATAACTAGATTCTCACTCAATGAGGCTGGAATTAGGATGGGATTTAAACCAACCAACCAACCAACAAACTCTCTCAGAGATTAACTATATCGGTCCAAGGTACCCAAAGGCTCTAATTAAGAAAAATAATAATATAATTTACCAAATACCATGTAATACTGACTGTTAGTCAGGTCAATTACATAGATTAAATCAAACAAGTAGATCAAGATCTAATAGATGATTGGAACACGAGAATTTAGCTACACCTAGAAAAATGGACCCTGAGAAGTTAAATAACCTAGAAAAAAGCACAGCTATCGCATTGCATTCACATACATGTAATCACAACACAATACGTGGGGTGGGACAGGGTAAAAAAGTGATAAACAATAATATAGTTAGGTAGAGAGAGAGAGAGGTTAATCACTGAAGCTTTGTTTATCGTCGAATCAGCATCGCACACATGCAACTGGAATGACGCAACGCCTATACTGGAGATATAGAAAGTGGCGACCAACAACAAGGGGTTCTAGTGGGAAGTAGTGTATTAGTAGTAGGGTACACCAGGTCGGATGTGAGGACAAATACTCGCCACCGATGACATTTGGCTAGTCGTCACGCTATGTCGTGAATCCGCAGAAGTTAAAATTAATGCGCTGGCCATTGAATCAGGTGCCAGTGACTTAATGGTCTGCGACCTCACATATACTTGACACTCGATAAAACCTGATCAAGCGTTCTCAATTAATTTCCCATGATTCTGGTAATCTATCCAGATGAGCTCGACTATTGTTTTCTATCAGTAGCTGAAGCGATAGTAATCAATACTAGAAGACTGGCTGTTTGCATACAGAAGAAGCATGTTCAGCCACTATCATTACCTTGGTCTATAATAAGGCCAACAAATCCTCCATAAACATTAGAACTTTAGATTCTTATCACAATATTTTCCTTTTCTTCTTCTTCTTCTTCTATGCCTTTGTCTCATTGACAAAAACGTTCATTTCTGACCTTTTACGACCTCATGACCTTTCTTATGATTTCTATTACCATCATTTTTACAAAATCCTGTTCATTTCACTTCACTAAATTCATTATTATTATTATTATTATTTCATTATTATTATTATTATTATTGTCGTTATTTTCATCCTTGAACTTATGTCTAGTCCACCCTGTTCGTTGGTTCATATTGTGTCAAACTCACCCTAGAGACCTGTACTTTTGTTGACTATATTTATAAATAAACACACGCATATCATTAAATTATTTCATCTCATTTGATCTCATATTCTTATTGACCATGCATATTGAAAAACTAACTGACTAACTTGTTCCATCCCATCCATCTTAATTGTACTTATTCCAGAATACACATTTCTGATATGATTGTAATTTGCCTTTACTGGTTGGCAGCTATTGTATGGCATAAATTACTGGATTTATACTTAATTGTAGAGCCTGAAGGACAAGAAGAAGGAGAAGAATTTATTTTGTGAAATCCACAACTGTTCACTCTAACAATTTTTCCTTTTTGAATAAATTATGAGACGAGTGAAATTCGGATTTGATAAGTCACGTTCAATTCTCAGGCTTCCTTTGAGCACAGATGGTTCCCTAACTAATGTTAGCTCACGATAAAATCCGTATAACCAATTAAATCAAATCCCTGTCTAAATTACAAGAATGATTTTACATTAAAGAAGCAAAGAATGAATAGCACTCAAGTAAAATGCGCTAAAACCAACAAACATACTGATACTTTTGTCATAATCACTGAAAAAAAATTTAAGAAAAAATTACACTTACCATCACTCTCCATTTTCGCGGGGAGGCATGAATGCGTTGGTGACTCCAAATGTCCATCATTCCCATTACTATTTGTCACATTTAATCCATTTTCAACACAATTATTCAATCCACACGGCATACTAGTATTATGATTTGGCAGAGAAGAACCACGACTTTGATGACGACTTCGTGATTGATTAACTTCAAGCATTAATTCTTCATCCAACTGTTGAATAGATCGATAGGCAGGATGACATCGTTTTATTGATAGACTAACTAAATAACCAGCTAATTTGCCTAACCAAATCGATGTTGAACTAACTACAAGTGAAGACAAAATACATATAGAGATAAATAAGTATTGGGATAATATGGAGAAATTGTGTATAGCTCACTTAGGATTTTATTGGTACACTTGTGTTCTCTATGTGTTGGATGGCTTAATTGTTGGACTGCAAAATACAAAGAGTAACAGATGGTAGCGTAAAAACGACTCCATATAGAAAAATGACACATTCTAGAAAATTCCTTGATTATCACTCAGATCATCCACTCACGGTAATACAAGGATTTCGTAAAGAAATAAACGTCCTATTCAAAATGTTACGTGACAACAACTAACCAAAAGAATTTATCAAAAATGGTATAAAAAGGAGGGTAAAACCGGAAAATGACAAGACGAAAGAATGCAAAAAAAAATAGTCATAGTACCATACGAATATGGTACATCAGAGGCAATTCGAAAAAACCTCAAAAATATTGGGATTCGCACAGCGTTTAAACTAATGAATCTAATTAAAAATAAAATACACCAACTGAGAGATCCCATAGAAATAAATGATGGATAAAAACAATTTGATTTACAAACAGATATCTTGTACCGAGTGTCTGACGAAATATGTGGATCAAACGCGTTCAGACCACTCAAAATAAGAGTGAATGAATATAAACACCTGCCTAGCTAAAGGTCAACCAACAGGAACACAGCCTTACGAGAATTCAGCAAAAATTTATCTATAGCTGCACATACGGCATGGGACAAAAACCACAATATTGACTGGAACAATGTCTGTATTCCAAAAACTAATATGAACAAATGGAAAGAGAGACTACTAATAACAGAATCTATATTCATTAAGGTCACATCAGGTACATGTAGCATGGGTGACTCAGAAGCACAACTGTCAACACCCTGAAATATAATTCTGAATACACAAAAATGAACTATATATATATATATATATATATATATATATATATATATATATATATATATATATATATATATATATATATATATATATATATATATATATAAATGTAAACACAAGTTAATTCGTGTACATTTTGATTTCCATAAGATAGGCAAAAGTTATAGTCATTCTCAGAACAGTCAGTGAAGAGACAGTTACTCAAAAGGCATTCTAATTCTTTAGAAGAATTAAAAGGTACTAGAACCCATACACTGTTTAATACTTAAACTTTCTCAACTGAGTGTATGTATTTTTACAGTAACTACATGAAAACAGCTCAAAATAAAACAAGTGCTGCTCCTAAGTAAGCTGGCTGATGTATAATCTATAAATTCCATCAACAAATGCGTTTGACTGACTGAAATTAACGATACGAGGAAAGCAAGATGATGAAAATGACAGGTGAAGGTGGATGATGATTAAGAAAGATTTATGTGTTTGCAGGCTATTATTAGTAGTCCGACTGTTTACACCATGAAAGTAGATTTCTTGTTCGGTACCTAAAACTGAGGGATACTAGAGTTGCATGACATCACAGCGCCTAAAACACGACTGCTTGAAGCCGATCACATATGGTATTTTTGAAGTGGTTTTGGAGTTGTGTTTGTATTATGACCTTATTACCGGTTACGGTAATTCAACACGTTCACTTTTCGCGGTTAACCTTTTCTAACCCCTATCTCCAGAACAGAGACACAGCACAGCTGACCTTCTGGTCATTTGAGGTAAATATATTATTGCTGTTACATTCCTACTCACCCCAGACCTCCAACATACTGTAAGTTACTTACACTACCATGACAACTTCATTCAGCAAGACCACTATCCAAAAAAACCTTTCTGGTATGGAGGGACCTGAAAGAACATTAAGCTTAGCCAGCGTAGCTTATTAGCTCATTGTGGTATTATGCAAGTCAGATATCGCGATTTCAAAGTAGTAAATATCTGTCTGTCTGTCTGTCTGTTTTCGACATAGAACTTTGCACAAATGTGCACCAGTTCAAGTCGCCACACTCCGTGTAGCACGCGAAGCAAGAGAACAAAGTAGAAGAAATGCATAATAGAGACAGTGAGCAGAGGTGTGAGACAAAGGAGGAGTAATAACGAAGAACAAGACAGTTTCATTGGAAATCATAAGTCACAAGGAGTGGATGCATCTGCACCCACCACTGAGAACGATTTTGAGCCATGTCACCAATTGTTTCCAACCATAGATTTTTACCGTCCCGAGGACCCCAGCCTGGAAGTCTACACCTTTCTACGTGGCTTAGACCAACTGTTGTGGATTTCATTGACTGGTGCCAAGTTTTTGTTTGACCGCCGATAGCTTTTTTCCAGCCTGACCCTACATCTGCCAACATTGCTCGTCGAGGAAAGGGGATGACCAGGCATACGTAACACATGTCCTAACCATCTCAGTCTTTGTAGCTTCACGACTTCGTCGATTGATTTCCCCTGTTTACCTAGAACTCTACGCCTAACCTCAATGTTGCTCACCTTATTATGCCACTTTACACGAGGAAATAGAGCGCAGGCACCTATGATCAAAGACAGCTAGTCAGTGTTTTCATGTCTTCCACTCTCAGTGGCCAGGTCTCACAACCATAAAGGAGGACGGAGCGGACTGATGAGCAGTACACCCGCCCTTTGGTCGACAGTCGAACATCTCGTCTACGCCAGAGTCGGCGTAAACTGGCAAATGCGAAACGAGAGAGGAAGTGGAGAGCTGTCAAGCCGAGGAGTTGCATCAGTGGAAGGAAGGCAAGATGATAGAGATGAAGATGAAAATAAAGATGAGTGATTAATAGAGAGGTTTCGCGTGCGTTTCGGATTGTGAGGGCGATTGTTACTTCCCGGCTGCCCACACCGTGGAAGTTGGTTGCGTGACCGCAGAGCCCAGGGGGCAACTGCTTGGGACCGGTCAAACGCGGCGATTTGCCTTTTCATTACACAGATATTGTTTTAAAAATAACTACAAATCGGTTCAATACTCAGTAGAAATAATATTCAGATATAAGGGTAGGGGTGAAAAACCAATGAATCCAGTGTCAGTATGGTATTTCAATACTGTAAACTTTGTCTAAGGAATTATCACATTTGGAGAGTCGTTAAAACAGAGACAGAGAGAGAGAGAGAGAAAGATGAAAATGCCGACTTCTTCGACCTCAGTATTTCTCTTTTCATCTGGTAATTTACAAGGAACTAAAGTAAAGGAATTTCATCAGTGAACAAAACAAGAAAATGAAGACTAACAGAATCTTGTCTGGTTATCGTGAAGATAAGATATAGAAACTATGTGAACTTTCATATATGTGACAGTCTATTGAGACAAATAGCCAAATAGCTTTATGCTTTAGAATTCAATACCCCAGACAGTCTCAGATGTAATTTACAAAGCAGAGATGACACACAGAAAAGTTTCATTATAAGCAGCTTATCTAAGTGTACTAAGTCTTCTGAAATGTTAATATCGCTGTTGTAACGCCAACTCCTCTGATGGATGGATTATCATGTAGCATCCTTCTTATGTGAGTCGCACTTGTTGTATAAGGGCTCATGGTTTACTATCAAGTTGTGCAGGCTGAAGTAGGTAGTGAGGGATTCGAACACAGGATTGAGACTGGCTAATAGCTGAATGCCAATGAGCCAGCCAATCAGTCACATCTCCATGTATTGATATCAAACCATTCTGTTTCAAGATGCATTCATTTAATTAATAAAAATACTTCCTACGAATGGTGTCTTAAGCTTAATTCCCCACAAGACAGTTGTGTCTGTCTATACAAAATAAAATTACTCACGAAAATGAAGTGGGAAGCTAAACAATAGGCAGTTCGAAAGCAGGGACTTTCTACAAGGCGTTCTATCAGCCCTGGAATGAAACTCCTCTTACAGAATTGTGCTACCATCATAGCGATAAAACAATTTGGGGAACCAGTTGAATACACATACGTAGGATAACTCCGACCAAAGCTGACAGAAATGCTAACAGCCATGGTGATGCGTGCATCACACAACAAAACTGCTACTGGTCATTTAGAATTTAGTCATTAGGAGCAGAATTTTTATGTTCTATGCTACGAACAACACTTATTGCATAAGAGCTGATGTTGTGGCGTACGCTACTGACAAGGTTTATCAGCAGTAGTATATAAAGATACGTTAATAGGAACACAGAAATATCCAGTAGCGGAGAGATGGATGTGGCGTAAAAGAGAGGACGAAGTGAACCCAGTATTACGGCGAAACATCGAAGACATAAAGAGAAACACGAAAGATCTGTGCCAATGACGATTTCGATATAAGTAAGGTGTACATAAAGAGATTTCAAATTCTAAATAAACATTCCGTTACCGAGTCTCTTGTCTTCTACTACTACAGCGGTACTGTCCAGTGACTGTCAAATAAAACGTCTGACATCTCACGCGATAGCTGAGAAAACTATACGCTTTACACAGACATCATCTAAAGGCATATGGGGAAGGAGGTTAATAGTAGTAGTGTTATTAAAATTTGCATGTAAATATGTAATTGAGAATATAAACGAAAATGAGAAGTAATCAATGAATTTATCACTGTGACCTCAAGAATACAATTCTGGAGACTATTAGAATATTTAAAAATATAATCAATCCACCAGAAATCACAAGGTTAACCTGAATTCAACTATTTTTTTCTTTTAGTGTGGGAGGAGTGAATAAATAGTTATCATAGTCTAAAATCTCACTGTTTAGAGAAAATGTGGTTAGAAGGAGGAAAGCTTTTGGAGAGGACGAAGGAAGGAGGATATTCTCCTCTATAAGAATTTCTACTTCACACTGCCCCACTGACACGCAAACAAACAAACGCATTATTTACCATGATAACTAGAATATCTCATGGCTGGAATAAAAAAACAAGCATACGGCGTAAATATGAAGAAAATATGCAAAATGAAAACCAGTATAGGTAAAAGTTTTAACCATAAAATCGGTTTATTGTATTGGTTAGTAGCGTTACGCCCAACTTTCCCTGTTCACGGAGCTGACCATAGAACAAAGTGAGGTTTAGAAGTGTGTGTGTGTGTCC